AGAAACCAAGTAAAATTGAAAGAGAGAGAGAGAGAGAGAGAGAGAATAAGGACAAAAGCTCAAATCTTGCACACATGGAAGAAGGAGAAAGGGAAATTCGAAGAGCTCAGAGAGAAATTAAAAAGAAAGAAAAAAAAAAGATGGGAAGAAGAAATTAAAAAGGGGAAACTTAGAGGTGTGGAGATGGAAATTGAAGAGAAGAAAGAAAATTGGGATGTATTTATATAGTAATTATGTAGAGCGTAGGCAGCAATGGATGGCGTTTGATTATGATCACTGCATTTCTATTGGTTGTTGTGTTGCTTCGCTGTATACTACTGTCACTATACCACATCACCGTCTTCCCCATAAACCCTAATTCTTTTTTCTTTTTATAATTTTATTTTATTTTACAAGTTTTCCTCGTATCATCATGTCTCAGATCACCTATTTTTTTCCTTTTTTAATTGTTTATTTCACGTGGGGTTGGCTTAAACCTTACACACAGTAGTAATTCATTTTTTGGAATCTAATTAAGCTTAATGCTCCAATGCTTATCCCTTCATTTTTAGACTTCATATATTTTATTATGGCGTCTTGTTAACCATTTTTGGTCCTTTTCTATGTCTTTTGATAATCTAATAACCATTTTGTTGTTTTTTTTAAAGAATAAACTTGTTCAATATTAACTTTTTAGTCATATTTCAAGTTTTTTTTAATTATAAATTTCAAATCCTACTTTAATAACTATAAAATTAAGTAGGAGATATTATGAGAATAAAGATCTCGTTATAAAAACAAAACCAAAATGATTATGAAACACACACAAAAATCCTAGGGATAAATCAACGTTTCCCATGTAAAACACACAAAACAAGAATCATTACGAGGAATCCCATACAAATTGAAATTTTTGGGAGACCTTTTTATTTTTTTTTTATTAAGGGGTGTGTACTCAATTTCATCCTAATCTTTAAAAAATGATCTCTCTCACAGGTGGATTTCATTTTATTTTGTTGGTTGATTTTATTTATACATGAGGATGATGATTGAACTTTTAACCTCCTAATAAAATTTTTTAATCATTGAATTAAGCTCATATTGAACCGTTGATTTTATTTAAATCATGTAATTAAAGATAGAAAGTAAATATTTAACACATGAGTAAACAATAGCCTGCTTCAACGTAATATTTCTTAAATATAATATCATCATTTCATCATTGGTATGGATTTAGTACAAACCTTTTGAGCAAACATAACAATAGCTCGACTAGTCAAGTTGGCGTTACTTACTCCCCCAGAAATTTTAAGGAAACTTAACACAAAAATTAATCATTTTGAAGTTGATGATTTGAGATGAAATTAATCCAGTTGTGTTTTACGCTTAAAAGAGCCTAGTAATATATTTAGCCAACATCATGTTTCCTCAAAATTCTATAGAAGAAAAAAAAACACCAACATTTTCTGTACTACTGTATACATATAACAAAGGAAAGAGGATTAAGTAGCTAATTCAACCAATTAAGTGTTCCTCCATTGGAATAAATGTAAAAAAAAAAAAATAATGCATTTGCTTTATATCTATTAATCTATGGTTTGCAAAGCTTTCCACAGCAAGTGAAAATATGCACACGTGTGAATTGGCTTCAGCTATACTGATTAACTTTTATTAATTATTAACCAAAATTAATTAATGAAACAAGTTGTACAAAATTAAACCACATGGTTAGCATGTGAAGATGTTTGGAATTGGATTGAGTCGTTAATTGCTCTTCCATGTAAAGTTGACAAACAAGTTCAAATTTTTAAAAGCTGGTTCCAAATTTTAATGAAATGGTTTGCTTTTTGTCATCTTGATTCCCAAACTACCCCTTCCATATTGTCTTTTAACGTTGCCTTTCCTTTTATTTCTTTTAATTTAAAATAACATTCTCAATTTCTTCCATCATAAAATTAACCATATATAATACTAAAGGATAAGTTACGAGTTTTATGTCCTAACCTCTGTTTGTTTATTGTAATAACAACTCTTATCAGTCTACTATTTAGTGTGACATCATTATCTTATAATTTATTTTTGAAAAATACTGGTCTCCTCAACAATAAAGATGTACTTCTCACTACTAAATATTTGACAACTCAAAATTATTTTTAAAAAATTATGTTTTTATATTTCTCGCTCTTAATTGTCAAATATTTAGTGGTGAGGAGGACAATGTTACTCCTCATTGTTGAGGAGTCAAATATTTTCCAAAAGAACTCTGATGCCTATAATTCATTGGTTTGAGATGTTATACTTTCAGACATCAATACTCTCTCTTTCCGTACCACGTAAAAAGTCGTGTTATGTTGCCTACCAAGTTTTTTTTTCTCTTTTTTGAATACAACATGTGGGGTGGAGGATATCGAACTCACAACCTCTGAGGTTGTGAGTATATGACAATTATCATTGAACTATGCTTACTTTGGCATGCTGCCTACCAAGTTGATTATGAAGGAGGGAGGTCAATAATGTTGGCTTAATTTAATTTATAATAAACGTAAGGGAGAAAGAGGTGTAAGCTAAAATACGGTTTTTAATAAATCTTTATATTATGTGTCACAAGTCTGTGAATCTCTAATAGTAAAAAGTTACAAATGAGCATATAAAAAAAATTTATAAAGGAGTCAATTTGTGGACAATATTAAATAAATTCTTTTAACACTCAAAAGAGTTGTATACAACTTTTTGCCTTCATAAATAACCTAATAAATGTGCTTTAAATGTAAAGTTAAACCAATAATATTATATAATTGATAAAAACTTTCATAGCTATAAGGGGATTGAGACTCTAGATGTTATTTCCAAGAAAACTTTTAAAATATCTATTTTAGTGATCAACTTTCAAAAGATAACTATGTTATAATTATTTGTATTATTTAATTAAATAAGTATATTCACAAATATATGGAAGAAAGGTTGTAATTCATCTTTGTCTAATTGAGGTATTTAATGCTACCCTTACATATAGCACGTCAAAACTATGTCAATATATGTAATTTACATCAATATTTTAGAAATTAATGTAAGAAAATGAGCCAACCAACATAATTTTTGTTAAATTATTTATTTTCAACCAAAAGATCGTGAATTCAAATCTCATCTCCCTTGTAGGTCGTATTTTAAAAAAAAAAAAGAAACTAATACAAGAAAATAGGTTGATTAATGTAAATTTGGTAAAGAAAAAAAAAATGAAAGGTAGCATGCACGTTGTTAAGCGTGGAAACAAAACGAACATCTCGTGCTCCACAGTCCACTCCAAGTAAAAATTGTATTAACGTTAATCTAATTGCGGGGTGTCGTTTTATGGATAAATTAATTAATTTATTATTTGAGAGACAAGAAAGTTGGATATTTTTAGTTGAGTTAAAAAGGAAAATAAAAGGAAGCGGGAGCCAGTTAAATCGGTTAGGCAGCTTTTCTAAAATATGAATAATTAAATATATACTTTATAATATATGGTTATTTTGTTATAGATATAGAATATAAATTTGAATAAATTATATGGAAAAAAAAATATAACGTAAGTGACACTGACAGATTCCTATCCACCACCCGAACCGCCGGGTCCATGTCCGTACATGTGATGTGCCCACTTCAACGCTGCTGCTTTTGCCCTACCCGATTTTTAGATTCGCCCCCTCCTTTTTCTTTAAAATCATATTTTAAGATCAATTACCATTTAAAAAAAAAAAAAAACCAAAGAAAGAAAACATTACAATTTCAATTTAATCGCTGAATTTTGATAGTTGTTTTCAAGGGTTGGTGTATGACATGGCAGTCGGTGCCAAATTATCCCACAATCAACAATGTGATGATGATTTAGCTTTATTTTAGTACCTTACTTAGTGTGCTCCAAATAAAAGGATGATAAAGGAGACGTAGTTGAATATCAAATAAGAAAGTTTTAACATATCCATGATTAAATTTATGTTAATTCATCAAGGATTAAGCTTTTGGATTAATTGGTACGATTTAACACGTTTAAGATTGGTATCAGAGTATAAGATTTTATAGGAGGTCCTATGTTCGAATTCATTTATTGTCATTTTTTCGAACTTTTGGATTTATTGGTGATTTAAATATGAGAAGTTGACTTAGATATTAAACACCATTACCTTGATGTTGGACCAGTATTGAAATTAATCGAGATATTATAAAGGTGGTATGCTTTAGTGATAGTGACATCACATGGATAAATGATAATAGCAAACTATCCAGAAGATTGAGAGTGGATGAATAGAGACTTATATTTGCTGGAAGGTTTAGGGGACGATGGTTGAATGTGAGTAATATCCCACATCGACTAGACAGAGGGTAAAGTTTATGGTATGTAAGTTAAGTGAGAACAACTATAATCTTCATCGACATGAGCCGTTTTGGGTAAAGCCAAAATTAAAGCTATAAATATCTAACTCAAAAGTGAAAAATATCATAATGTCGGGGAAATTACGATAATATTTAATTTCAAAGTGAAAAACTAAGAGAAACAGAAAGTAGATTTGTGGGAATGAAATAAAATTGTATGGTAAATTACAAATACACATATAAATATATTGAGGCGCGCAATGATGTGCAAGTTGACATGTCTTCCGTAGCATACATTTTGATTTAATTGATTTAGGATATAAAAGAGGGAAAAGGCAACAAATAAAATCATGGCGAGCAGCCGAAATAAGAAAAAAGCAACAAAATTGTACCAACGGTGAAACATTACCCATGTGAATGCTCACTGTAAACAAGGACACAATTGTCAAAACCCTGATCATTTTCTCTCTCTATTTTTCCTTCCACATTTTTATTATTTTGCTTAAATAAATTATGACTTTATTTCTTTCCAAATTCTAAATTATAACGTACCCATGTGACGTTTAAATTGTATTATTCTCACCAACTAAGTACTTAAAAGAAATTCATTTACAAACTAAGAAATATAGACATGATACAAATGTTGAACTTATAATTTTACTTTTTATTTTTATTTTTATTTTTTAACTCTTAGTCACCCAATTATCTATATTCTTTTTCACAAATTAAATTAAACTTATAAAGATTAATTTTGTGAAATCAAATGATTGAAAGAAGATTCGTATTACAAAATTTTGCCAAACATGGGTYGAGTCCATGGATGGTCGTTACCAAGGGTTTGTTAGAAATTCAATTAAACATGAAAAAAAATTAAAAAAGGAATAATTAATTGATGGTTTTTGTCTTCAAGTGTTAGTTTAGAATATATGAAACAAATTGTAACGTGTTGGTTGGTGTATAGTTGGTCGTCTTTTGTTTTGGTTTCATGGGAACTTATGTTTCATTAAAAAATAATAACAATAAATTAATCTCATTTTTTTAAATTAAAAGACAGTCACGTCCTTGACTATCATTTTTATTCCCTCCCCTTCACCGATGCCTGATTATTATTATAAAAATACAAAGAGTTTTTTATATGCTCACTTAGTCCATTAATATATGATTAATCACATTATAAGGTGATGTTAAAATTACTTTTATTTTTCACAACTAACCCCCACAAAAGAAAAATAAAAAACTTGGAACCAACATAATATAAAGAATTTCAACTTGGGACATTTTAATCAACAAAAAATCGGATTACTCCCTGAATTCAAAAATTAGGATAATTTTAAATACTACCATCATCATGATTTAGTTGGTTGGTTGTGAATGTTATTCAAGTCTTCTTAAAGTTATCATTTTAAAATTTTCAAATCATTAAAGTACTGTATATGTAAATAATAATAATAATAAAGTATAAGCATCAATTAATCATTAAACAAATTAGAAAATTTTCAAACAAAAGTAATCCACAAGGGATTTTGACAATTAAAAAAAAACATAAAAATTCCAATTTTTGTGACATTTCCATAATGAGGGAGTGTAGGTAGGTGTTTCCTTTAGGGTATTGACCATCCATAACTAAGTAAAGGAAGTTGTTTTCTAAGGATGTTTCATCCATTATATTAAAGTTTTTTTTTAATATTTTATTAGTCTTTCTTTTTTCAAATTTCTTTAGAGTTCAATAACGAAGTCTACATATATCTAGGACCATACAACATGTGTGTGGTTGTAGTAACAGAAAAGTAAGGTCCGTTAGTTTTTGGAGAAAGCTAAACAAATAAAGCCTAAAGTAACGATATTATTAGAATAATAATAACACGGACCGCCATGATGTGTGGCATCACTATAAAATTATACAACATTTAATTTACATGAAAGAATAGTAAATTGTGGTCTAACAATTCCATGTGGTTGTTTTGCTACCTAGTACAGCACCTTAATATAGTGGTCGACCCACCCATGTTGTAATGTTAATTATTACCAAAAAAAAGAGGGAAAAAAAAAAGCCACAATGAAACTGCTCCTCCACTGTCTTCCGAATTATTTATAATTCTCTCATAATTAAGAAAGAACCATATTTTGATTTTTGAGTTTAATATTTCAAAGTTGGCCCGTGAATGCTTTGTGCTCAAATTGAACATATATTATTTTAATTTCATATACCAGGTTTCTCGTAAATGTATGAATTGTCTTTCTTTCCCAGATTCCATCACCCATTTCGATATTTGTTTATATCTTAAATATAACTATCTCACTTTACAATTATCTGAAGTTGCTAATTTGTTTTTAAATTCTTTACCAACAAAAAAATCCCTCCATTCAAATTTGTCGTCACGATGACCCAAAAGCAAAAACAAAAATACATAGCGGAGATATATATTGTAGCGAAGTGATATCCACAGATAAAATACTTTTTTTTTTCAACAAAATATTATTTAATATACTTAGTGATGCTTAGTTGGATGTGACACTTTTGTTTAATATACTTTGTTTGAGGTTTAAATCTTTTAAAGAACTCAATATCATTAAATTAAAGGAAAATATATATCTTAATCAATTGAACTAGGTTTAGGTTGGCTTGTCTCATAAATGGTATGTTATAACAAATTAAAAAAATAATAAAAAAAGAGTACTCATATATTCGAATATGCCTTTTTTGTTGATATCCTAAGAAGGGGAATGGATATTAGAATGACTGATTGATGGGCCAAAGCCCACAGATATAGATGTTCATGGACATGGCTTCCCATTTCTGAATAATGGGCCGACCCGAAAATCTCCAGCTCTATCAATGACCAGTTTAATTTCTTCATTTTTAAAAAAGAAAAATAAAATTACTTAATCCCAACACTCCTAGATTAAACAATGATAAAATAATATTTTTATTTATATTTTGAAACTAATTGAAAATGAAATCAGAAATAAAAAATTTATTTTTATTGTTTCCAAAATTTCTATACAATTTTGAAATAATTTAAAAAAAAAAGAGAAACAAGGAACATAAATGATTGTTTAATGTTTAGATTTTTTAATAAAATTAAAAACAAGAAATAAAAAAACAAGCATGTTAACCAACAGACTCTTACTGCAAAAAGATTAAAAAAATGAAAAATTGCTGGGTTTTTTTTCCCTTTAAAAAGGTTAAATCACTCTTGGTACTTAAAATTTCGTAAATATCTATAGTTTAAGAAATTACATATTTTATTAAAAAAAAAAGAAAAAAAAAGAAATTACATATTTTTTGTTCAGGAAAAAACTCTCTACTAATACCGACGGAAAGGATTATATTACACATACTGCGCGAATTTTTAAGGCTAAATTATTAATATATCCCTAAACTAAATTTTGTTGGTACCATTTTAAAACATTTCATTTTAATATTCAGACTTCTAAATTTGTTCATAAATTGAGTTAAAGATACTTTCTAAATTTGACTTAATTGTCACCTCGATTGGTAAATTCTTACCACCCAAATAATTTTGATTAGATGATGAACTACTCAACCATCAATATTTGAGTTTGATTGATTTATATTTTATTTAGATTTTTTTTTATAAAAAAGTAAAATATATTTTTTAAAGACATAAATAAAAAGTTTAAAATGCTAATTTCTAAAACATCTAGTTACTTATCTCTAATCTTCAAGCATTAGATTAAGATTGAAAACTCGATTTCAATTTATATTATCAAAAATGACATTTCAACCATTAAATAAATTATTTTTTAAAAGTAAATAATTTAAAAAGAATGATTAAATAAAACAAAACCAAAATAAACATATGTAATATATAATTTGATCAAAAGTAAAAGAAATATTTATTAAAAATTAATAATAAATTCGGATTTGGTTTGCTTCAACCTAAATTAATTTTGAAGTTAATTCATGATCAACCCAATAAACTCACACTTAGATTAATCAGATTTGTGTGATCATCAAGTTTTTTGAACACCAATTCACACACTTGTATGGAAGCAAATTGTTTAACATTTATTGGTTTTATTTGGTAAGTTTTATTTATTTTCGTCCTCCAATAAGCAATAACCACTTCGAGCAGATTCCCTTTCGCGGATTCGTTTGAGGAGGCAGTCTCTGTGTTGGTCCCGCTTGCTTTTGAAGCGTCTCTTTTATTGCCTTTCATTCTTCCAACTTCCAAAGTTCCCTTTCTTCCATTACCTCTGGTTTCCGTGTAAGTATCTTTTAAGTTTTTGCTGCTATTTCGCCCCCAAACCCTCAACTCTTCTACTGGGGTTTTCTATTCCAACTTCAATTCGCTGCCAATAAGTTTCTTTTGCTTCTTACAATTCAGCTTTCTCCAAAATTTTCAGAGTTTTCATTGCTCAATGTCCTTATTTGACTGAATCATTTGATGGGTTGCTTATAATTTCTTCCAGATTAAGTTTGGGTCTCCGGTAATTCGATTATTGTTCCATTTTCGTCTGTGGGTTTCGGTCTGGAGCCTGTTGATCGATAATTGAAGGGTCAAAATCTCCAATCATCCAGGTTAATCTCCTCTTGACCTACAATATTTCATTTTCTTATGGATTACAGAATGCTGTAGCGCCTATAAAGTCCAATTTTGTGGCTTATAATTTTCGTTTCTGGACTCTTATGACATGGTTTTCTTCTCTTTTGGGGTTAAGAAAGACTGCAGCTCCGCCTAGAGATGCTCCATTTGATATTATGTATATTGTTAATATTTACCCTTATGATGTGTGTTTCTTTCCCCTATAATGAATGATCCATGGTGTGTCCAATCTGTTTCCTTCCTGGTTTGAGCATATAGTTTCATATATAATTATAGGTTGCCAGTTGCCAGGTTGCTTTCTAAAGGGTCTCAATCTGTTTCTTTTTTATTTTCTTGGCAATCTGCACTCTGTGCATGTTGAATTGAAGCTGGACACAGCCAAATAAGATTCGGATTCTTAACAACTGCAGCATTGAGTTTTGAGGGAGTTGAATATTAATGAGAAGAAAGGATTCTGATTTGTGGGAGTTAACTAACAAAATCTTACATAATGATCTTGATACTATCAGAAACAGAAGTGCTACGTATTGAAGTTAATTCTTGTTTCCAACAAGTTGTGTATAATCATTCAAATTGGGGTGGCATCTTCAAATTCATATCTAATGGGTCAGGTAAGAATTTGAGAGAATTTATCACACCCGTCATGATAAATGCAATGCGAGTCTACCTCAATGTTTGGTTTTCCCTTGCTTGGGTCTGTACAATGAAATGGTTTTATAAGCTATACTATTTCCAAGTCAAATTGAGTAATGGCCGATGAAAGATCTTAACAACGCATTCTTGAAAATGGAAAGCCTTTACGTTATTGCATTTTCTGTCAATTTGAGTAAGCCTTTATCAACGTTTTCCTTCAGTTTGTTTTATCTTTTGTTGCTCCTTCACTGTATACTTCTCATAGTCTTTTGATTTATTCAATGTCTTCTATCATTAAATTGTTAGGTGTGGTTTTAATGTCTGCCTAGCAAACAGTATTGTTATAGATGTTATGGATGAAGTACTAGACAACTTGGTTCTCCAAGGTTTATGTTGTTTGTATGGTAGTTCTATGCCTAACTATAGTACACATTAGAATCTAAGGACACAACTTACAAGTTAGGTCGTTAATCCTAACTATAGCATATCGACACAATACTTCATGGAGTAGTTGTTTGTTAGAAACCTTTACCTTATAATTTTTGGCCCATGTCATTAGTAGCCCAAACTAGGTATTTTAACCTAGTCAAGACCTGAAGAGCTCCCCCCTATCTAAGAATGGAGGGTGAAATTACACCTCCAGTATAGAGTTTGAAGACTTACTACAAGCGATCGATACTCCAAAAGACGATCCCAAATGGAACCTGCAAACTAACCTCTTCCCAGAACATGCTCCATATTTTCTGGGGCACTCTTTGAATAAAGTCAATAGTGTTAATCCACCTTAGCCTTTCTAGACAAAAAGTTGTGACCTTCTCACCTTCCAAAGCGAGGAGAACAAAGAGAGCAAGTTGGGTGAGGAAGGAATAATTATAATTAATAAGGATCTAAGAAGGAGAATAATTATGAAACACTCTAGAAGTAGAAAAGAGCTCCAAAGGAAGGCATCAATTAACTCTGTCCCATAATTCCCAAATATCCCTAGAAATATCTCGAAAGCCTCATTTTCAATTGAGCTTGAAACTAGAGAATATGGTTCGACTCTTCAACATTTGCTAGTTGGAAAACTCGTGGAATATTTAAGGGTTTTTGCCACAACATTTGTATTCTTGGAACTTAAGTTTCTGTATTTGATTGACGGATCTAATGAACTTGCAAAATAAATAATAATGGGATTGCTCATAAATAGTTCCCTTAGGTCTCTTAATAAGTTCTTGTGATTCTGGTTAGCATCCAAAAGGTTCCATAAACAGGGTGAATTAGTGTAAAGCCATGCTACATGAATTCATATCTGAATGCAACTTGTCTTGATATCTGACTAGAGCTTATCTTCTTTAGGCTTCCGATTAGTTACATTAGGAGGACGAAATGCCTTATCGGTTATCAAGTTTATATCTGTCAACTGTATCCCTGTTTGATTTGAAGACAGTTAGACCAAACCCAAAGGTTGTATTTAGTGGAAATGGAGTTTTGTGTTAATACTCACCAAAGAAAACCTTTGTGCTTTCCAGGTTTCCAGTTCTATAAGTTTCTGCAATTGATGAGTCTTTGCTGTTAAATTGGAAGTTCACTTCAACATGAACAACCCATACTCTGAAGATAGTGTAAGCTGCTAAACCTAGGTGTTTCCATGAACTAATAACGTGAAATGGGCTTTAAGGATGTATCCTTTCTACAGGATCAAACCACTGTAGTCGGTTTTGAAGTTCCAAATTCACCGGATTCAACCTACAACAATCTGTACCTTGGGAGCGAAGACGAGGCACGTGATCCACCGTTTGCCCCGCCTCATTTGCAGCACACCTTACTGAGCCACCCAGCGAGCAGAGATGCTGGTGGAACTCTTCCATTGCCACACAATGTGATCCTCAACCATCTTTACATCGAAAACCGGGAGACTCCACGTTCTGTTGTGGCTCTCGGATTCACACATCGTTTTCGTTCAAAATTTGTCACGGTTGTGCTTTACAAACCGGTTCACAGAAGAGGAAGTAGCAGGGCTTAGTTATTCATATACATGGGAAAGTTTGATTAGAATTGGTCCGACGGACATGACTAGAAAACGTTTATGACATGTGAGATGTCGATGAAATTAGGGTCGATGAAGTGCATTTAACTTCACCAAGTAAATGAATGTTAACGACGTAGATATTGTATTGTACCTGTAATTTTTTTGAACTGTCTAGTGGCAGTAATTGAATACATTCAAGCATATGCATCTTCTAGCTGTTAAAGATGCAAAATTGAACTTTGAGTTGGCCTTTTTTCTTTTTAAAGTAGGAGTGTAATGCCCCCATTATTATTTAGGCGAACCACCCACCGCCACTGGGCGTTTGATTAGACGTGTAAGTTATTGTAAAACAATTAAGACAAAGTTTGAAGATTTTGAGTTTATATGGTGGAAAGATGGGGAACTAATGGATCGTTGATTGGACAAGTTGCTAAAGGTTGTCCAAAATATCAGCACTTTTGCAGCTGCCTATGTCATGATGAGAAGAGGGAGATTCTATATACCTTCCATTTTCATTTTTCCAATAACAAGGACAGATATAGCTTTTATTATTATTTGGACATACAACAATTAGGCTGAAAAGTTTTAGACATAAACTCCTAGTCTGTAAAGGTGAATTTATAGTGAATGAGTAAATGAGCAGCCTAAAAGGATATGTATAACGTTTAGTCATTCAAAATATGGATTGCATTTGTACTTATAGTTTGGAAACAATCCTTATCAAAGTCTAGACAGGTTGGTAAACCCAGTTAGGAGGTGGAGATATAGGTTAAAGCATTCAAATCTAGATGCAAGTAAGATTTATTTGTTTTGTAAATTTTACTTAATAGCTTCTCAAACTTAATTACAAGAATACTTGATTCCGTTGAAAGAGCATCCATCCGACCATCCCAACGTGGAATTGCTCTGAACTCAACTAAAACAAAGATCCACACAGTTACAAAAATCAAAGCCTAAGAATGGCTGAAAATATGGCGACAAAGATCTTAAGTTCATATTTATGACCAAATTGAATAAAAATAGTAAAAAAAGAGAACATTTTTCCGTTTTAAATGTTAAAGAGCTGACAAAAAATTAAATACATGGTAAGAATGGTAAATGTTGCAACCACTCGAGTGAGAAGAAGGAATAAACAGTGTGTGCCTATATGATTTACAGGCCTCGTCCTTCGGTCTGTAAAAATCTATGAAGAACTGAAAACTTGAGCATAAAAACTGCACTCCAAAGCTAGAGATCCATATTATATCCATAAACGGATTGTACGTAAGAAGGAATAAGCTGTTGCATTGGCATTGGGTGGTGAATCCTGATGATACCATTGCACTGCCACTCTGCCACTGCGTATTCACAAAAACCTTAAAATTTGTCTCCCTCCAAGGGAAGATGCCCGTGATTTCGACGCCCACATTAAAGTCTTCTTCAGCTTTATACTTCCCCAGGGCCACATAATATATCATCATACCGATACCAAGCGACGTGTCGTTTTCATACTCTACTGTGTGAGCATTAACATTGTAAATTAATTAGTGTTGGGTATTGGTTATAGTTATTTATTTACAACCTTAAACTCATATGACAGACTAGAGTAAAGCCCGTGACTTGGAGTTGGATCCCACTATTTAATATATCCTTGCCTTGCCTCATTTGAATTTTCTGCCGCCTTAACTTCAGGTTCAGGACCACATGTCGTTCGGGAATCAGCGAATTTTCCTATTCTGGGAGTTGTATTGTATCATGTATGTCGAAATTAACACTTTCATAAATTAATTAATGCTCCTAATTTCCATTAATCCCATTAACATGAATATATTAATTTTGAAAGATATGGTATTGGTAGAAATTCACGGGCAAGGCCACCTCTCAAAGTAAAGCGTAGTGCCATATCTGCCTGCTCACGAGCTCATTTAAAGCTATTTTTTCAAACCTTATAAACCCCCTTCTAAAACACCCCTTTTCCAAACCCAAACCCAATGCCTTCGTCTATGGCCTCTCTTTTCCCATTTGTTCTCGTTCTGGTTCTGGTTCTGTGTTCTCCCAGGCTGTCCATGGGCGCTCGGTGCGTTCCCCCGAGCGCCCCCAGCACCATCGTCGAGCCTCTCGGCACCCAAGACTACCACACCCTCGAGCCTCACACGAACCCAAAGAGGCTCGTCTTTGGCGGCACCGATCTCAAAAGTTGCCTCCCCAAAGGCTTCCGCCGCTCCTCCGCCCCCAGCCGCTTCGTTAACTACCATACTTCCGGCGGTTGTTCTTCAACCATAGACTCCACCAACACCCCTTGAGAATACCCAATTTCATTTCTTACGTTCTTCATTTTTTTGTATATGCTTTTCATCTGTCGTTTTTCTTTTTTCTTTCTTCCTTATATTATATATGTTCTCATATTAAACTTTTGTTGTCTATTATAATTAATTTGTTCTCTTCCAACATAAATTCCAAAAATTTTGGAACCCCGAGTCATGAATTGTAAAGTTCTCTCTTCACCATCTTCTCTTTGTTTTCTTTTCTTCGTTCACACTTCACAGCCAACGTTAAAATTATATATTTGAAATCAAAAGTAGAGTCATGCAATTTTGCTCATAAAGTGGAGGAACGTACATATGTCACAATCCAATTGGAGCCAGGTGGAGTGCCAGCCTGAGAAAAAGAAAATCAACACCAAAATTACAGGGGAAGCTCAAGTCTCTGTTTCATTAATTAAAAATGTATTACAGAAGAGCATCAAGATATTATATTTTGGGTGGAGGAAAAACTCCTATATTCATTCACACTGAAGCTACAGTGTGTTGACTACTAATAACATCAAATAATTAAACAACCACTGAAACTAATTACAACAGAATGAGCAAACTGAAAGACACTGGTGAAGCCCAGCTCTATTTTAACACGGCCGGCAAGCAAGCAAAATTCGAATCATTATACTAACAGATTGTTTGAGCATGGTTTTGGAGGTAAATTTAGAACCCATTGTTGACTGATTTGATGTGATCTTCCGCCAATTTGGCCCCACATTCGTTTGAGATTGTGGCGTTGAGATCGTTGATAAATTGGTTCATGCCTCTGTCGGATGATCCATTGGGTTTCACAGCATTTTCCAACGTCTTCCTCACTTGTGTGACTGCGTCCCTATATGGAGCCCCTGATTTTGCATCCATGAGACGCTTAATCTTCTCGGAAACCCCCTCCTTGGATATCTGCCGTCCATCTCTGAGATTAATCCCAACCGCCCAATCCTCCACGGCCAGCTTCCGATTCGTGAACTGGTCCGTAAGCAGAGGAAAGCAGAGCAGTGGTACGTTGCACCAAATGCTCTCCAAAATGGAGTTCCATCCGCAGTGGGTGAGGAACCCTCCGATTGCGGGGTGGGCCAGGACCTGCTT